TTACTTAACCCAAATCTCCGCGGAATCGGCCAGTTTCACGGCCGATCGTCTCCCGCAGGCCTGACCTTCCTTAACCCGATTCTTCTAGAATACGGCAACGAACCCAGCCGGCGGCACGCGAAACAACGCCGAAGCGGAAATCCTACGACGAGGGCCCGTTACCCGTGGTATTTGAATTGAATAACGATCGCCTTTAAATTCGTATCTAGGCGACTTGCGACTTGCGACTTGCGACTGCCGGTTCGCGCTCACGTTCGCGACTTTCGTGTTACACGCTGTTAGGCATGGTTTCACGCTGGCTAGAGCTGGCGATCGGTATCGCATATATCCGATGCACGTTGCGTATTTTCAATCGGCGAACAAAAATAACAGCCGGTTGATGGAAAAACTTCTTGTTAACAGAAAGATCGGTAATACGGATAACCTTGTCGCGTTATTACTGCGTCGAGGATATTAATTGCGAAAATTTTGAAACTTGGTGACTGGCAGTCATCGATTGTAATTGTTTCGTAACTATTTCGTAGAGATAGAAATATTTTAGTTGAGCGAATAATTGCTTCTCCGTGACTTTCTTCTATGATTTTCGTTATCACAAATAAATAAAGTAAACATTCCGTGGAAAGCAATCGATACACGTGTATGTGAAATTTTGATATTAAATCGAGGAGCTATAAACCATTTGATAGCTCGTCAAAATATCAATCATCTACTGATGTATCAATTTATATATATGCAGTATAATAATTGTAATTACAAATACGAATGTATTGTAACATAAATTAATAATTGATCGATAAAAGTATCAAATAAATAAATGTTTTGATATTCGTTTGATATTCCTTTATTACAGATGCATTTTCGATATCTGTATATATCAGACTTTTGAAATTACAGTTACTCGTTACTCGATACCTCGCTAAAACGTTGCAGCGAGAGGAATTACGTTTTATCAATTAAATAGAGTGACACAAAGATGATTACAATACGTTCATACATGTAAATATCAAACGAGCATCACTACTGTTTGCAAACATATGTATGTATACGCGGTACGTGAAACGCATGTCAATGGAGGATCGCTGTTTTAAATGCACGAGTACACATGACGTAACACGTGTGAACCACTCGTCCATCCCCCATATCGATTTGATACTTTAATACTGAAAACTTCGTTGAGAACTTTATATAAAATAAATTAATTTGGCATCTGAGCAGTACATGTGGAGAAACGTCTTTGAAAGAATGACAATGTATTATATATGTATTATCCGTTTGAGAGATTATGTCAGAGAGTGGTACCAGTTGAAATTTCCAGTACGAAAAATAGGCATATAGTTTATCCAAAAATCGCCGATCAATCAATCAATAATGTACCGAATAATAATGACATATGTAATAATAATAATAATAATAACAATAAACTGAACACTTCCTGAACAGCTTTCGTTCCCTATTAGCAGACGAGTTCGCTGTAACCTGTGCTCGCCTGTGTACTGTTCGCAGGACTGTCCCACGCTACTGGCGAACATGATTCGCTGGCGAGCTGTTCGCGAACGTGTAGTACGAACGCGGCATTACGTACGCGGCCGAAGGAAAACTCCGAGCGGCTTGGCCACGCTCGCGCGGAACACGCCGTGTTCGTTCACCTGTCGCAGCTAGAGCGGAATCCTCGTTGGGAATTCCGCCGTGTGCCGGTCCTCTTCTGTTCTGTCCATTACGGAGAAAGAGAGAGAGAGAGAGAGAGAGAGAGAGAGAGAGAGAGAGAGAGAGTCCATTGTTCTCGGCATCGTAAATTATTGCCACCGGTGGCGAATCGAGCGGAGCTCTTCGAAAACTCTGCATAAATCATCCCGCTATTAGAAGGTCAGGCCGAGACGATTGCTGGTACGATGGTTGGCCGGTCCATTAGGTGGATAATGTCGGAGTAGAGTTTCAGCGGAGCAAATAGGGGAGGGGACTCGTGTGCAACCGGTGAGAGAATTTCGGAGAGAGAGATTGGACGTACCGCCAGGTGGTATTTTAGTTATGGGAGAGAAATCGTGAGGAATCTGCGCTCTGGAATTTGGTCCGTGATACGTCGAGGATTGGCCGATCGTGAAATGGTCGGTATAGGGCGAGGAGAATTTGGTTCTCTCGATTTTGAAGTTCAAAGTATGAATATATCGGGTCATTTCGACCTAATATTTTTCTGAATGTAATAAATTAATTTTGTACTTAAACGAAATACACACGGAGAAGAAATCATGCATTAGTATGAACATTTTTTTAAATTTAACTTTTGATGGAAATAATAACTTTTTCAATAGAATGACTGTATTAACTATTAACTATTAACTAAAGATTAATTTCTCCGTGTTTATTTTATAAGAAAACATGCCCGAGAATAAATCATTGTAAATTTGCAGTGTTCTGATATTAAAGTCCTAAATACAGAGTTCTAATATTACAAAGTTCTAATATTACAAAGTTCTAACCAAACCGAAATTTAGATATGACGTTGTCCGATGTATTTTATAAGAAAACATTCCCGAGAACAAACCATTGTAAATTTGCAATGTTCTAACATTAAAGTTCTAAATACAGAGTTCCGTTGTAATAGGTTCTAATATTAAACTCCGAAATTTAGAGGTTACATTGTCCGATATTTTGCTTTAAATTAACGCCCATCTTCATCACGAGTCTATACATCTCTAAATGAGTAGAATGTTTCAACGCCTTGCCTCATTAATCAAACTTAACTTGGCTGAATGGAACCACGCAAAACGAGGAAATCACGAGTTAATTTTAGTCGACGACAAATTTGCCTAGCCGACCGTCTAACATTATTTGCCTAGTCAAAATTTCAATATGTAATCTGCTTACACAGCATGTAGAAAATATACATAGTTCCCTCAGCTGATGTAAGCTCAAGATATTTCGGAATAATAATTAGGATGGGATCGAAAACGCAATAATTTTGAATATTTTAAAACTTTACGCAATAATTTCAAATGTAATAGCAAAACTATGCTCGTGTGAATATATTGAAAAATTAAAAAACAAAAAGTCGATGCTTCTTGAAACGATGAGAAATTAATAAGACAAAGGATTAAAGATCAATGTACATTTGAAAAGCCTCAAAAAAGACGGAAATATATTTTCCACCTATTTTTAATTTAATCAAGAAAATATCATGTCCATAGTAGATAATAACTACAAATACAATTTGTATGGAAATTTTTGGATTCCAGAAAAGATCTTCGTACGACAAGTTAAAGTCCGATTACAATCAGAAAAAGAAAGGAAACGATTGGTTATATAATACGTAAATATTTATAATCGTAATTTCGTATAAACGGGACCGAGCTAAAAATCTGAAAATCTGAAGAACATCTTATGTAAAATTAATAACATATCAATTGTCCTTGAAAACAGACAGGGAATGAGAAGCGCGTTCCTCCACGTTTTGGTCTCGCGAGCGTCTCGTCGAGCTGAAATAGTCGTGTTTACAGGCAATGGAAGATGGAAGATAAATATAAAAGGGGCGCCGATGCCACGCACCGTCGCGAAAAAATGCAAAAGGAAACGTAAACGCACGCGGCGAGGAACGCGTTTACCCTAACGCGTTGCGAGAGAGGTTTCTACGCAAGGGACGAAAACAGACTTTCGCGCAGAATGTGAATCTTCGTTGGTCGTTTTGTTGATCCTCGACCGGTGATCGACGACGATGTCCAGTCATCGACAACGGTGTCGATGACTGTACCAACCTAGACAAGCTGGCTCGTTTGCATTTTGTTCTTTTCGTGCTTCCTCCCGGTGGAGGGTGAGTAAATTCGGATTCAAGGTGAATAACCTCGCAGTTTGGAGTTTGATTTGCGAGTGAAAAATTTCAGGTACGTATGTACATCGGTAGCAAGTAATTTTCTCTTGATACTTGTATTGAAGCTCAGTAGACAAATTAGATTTCTATTTTCAACAATCATAAACAAAATATACTCGTGTATATTTATGAAAATTTTCAACGTACAAAAATTCTCAGGACAGTAAATACTCAGTAGATAAAACAGTAGATTTCTATTTACATTAATGTTTTTCAATTCCACCGATAGAAATACGAGTTTGCAACGGGCATTCACAATGTAGTAAATTTCGAAGCTGAAACAAGACCGTTGTGAAAATATTGTTAGAACAAATCGGCGTGCGGTGGAATCGCGATGGAAGCAAATAAAGGAAGGAAATAAGCTTAAAACGGAAATCAAAGACCGACGATCCCGTTGCGAGCTTGGATAATTTACAGCCAGCCGCGAGACCTCGAGCGGGCATAACTCACGCGGGTAAATCAGTCTGTCAAATAAACGTACGACCGTAAATGTACATTTTCTCTCACCGTGCTCGGCGCACCGAGTGAGATTTTAACGCCAATCCATCAATAATCCCGCGGGATCGTTAGGATCGCAGACGACGAAAAGAAATTACGTTCCTCGTGATAATAATTTTGCGATAGGTGCCACTGGTTGCAAGAGCAACCACGTATATACACACGCAGTTTCTTTCATCCTTTTTCGTTTCTTTCTCTTTTTCGTTTTTCACGTTGGAGAAAGGTTTTCACGCGTTGAGCTCCTGCTTTTTCAGTGCAGAGAAACATTTTCTCAATCGCCATGCACGAGCGTTTTACGGACTGATTAACTTCACCCGTTATGATTTGTAATATAATACGTATAAAATAACCATAGTTATTCGTAGCGATGACCTCGCGATTATTACCGCTCGACGATTAAATTTGAAAAATCAAACGCGAACGAAGGATAACTCCTGCTATATAAAAATTAAGATATTCCTTGATAGAATCTTTACGGCAAAGACACAGTACTCCGCAAATCAAGAATAAAGGTAAAGAAGGAAAAAGGTAAAGAAGAAAAGAAGAAAAGAAGAAAAACGGAAGCAGATAATATAAGCATCGTGAAGCAGAATATATATATAAAAAAAAAAAAAAAAAAAAAAAAAAAGGATAAAGAACTCACCTCGCACCTGGATGTGTCCAGTATCTCGACCTCGGTACTAACGTTATCGATGGTAACGCTGTGCCGGTACAGGAAATCTGTAACAGAGAGAACACAGTGCGAGATTACGTCGACTCGCCTTGATGAATGATAGCGGCAGGGCATTCCTGACTAATCCCTATCGCCACGTTTCGTCTACAGGATTAGCGAAAGGGTTCTAAACCCGAGGGAAGACGTACGAGGCTCGTCCGCCACGAGTAATGAAATCGATCCGTCAGTCCTCGTTCGAGGATCAGCAGTGAGAGAACGAGAGAGATTTTACGACGGTTAGTCGTAACGAGTAATCGTTGGATCTGGGCTAGCATCGGCACGGTCGCCCGATCTATGAAACGATAAATGAAACTGAACACCGGCAGAAAGAAAGATCGATCTCTAGTGGTGCTAGATCTGTGATATTAACGCTTCCAACCACCGACTGGCTTTCGTGGTGATAAGTTTCACAGGGATTAGCAAATTCCATTGAGAATTTGTAGAACAGAGCGAACAGCATAACTCAATACAACTGAACGATGAGAATCATCAGTGTTTCGAACCATTAGAACTTGACTTTCAACTATTATAAATTGGTCCAAAAAGTAATTATGTTTTTTTTTTCTAACAGATGGGCGTACGTGTGTCTGGAAATGTTCATCCATGCAAATTCATTGTGTAATCTGATTGTTCAAACTTCTTTCGAAAAAATAACTTTAAATAAACTGTAATAAATTATTTGGATTGGCCAAAAAGTAATTGCGTTTCTTCTTCCCACGTGTCCATTCGAACCGAGTTCTTCTCTACGACATCTCCAAGTGAACATCGAACCAAGATTTTCCCGCGAATAGAAAACGCGGCTAATGCGCGAAAGTCTTGGACCAGTTACCCAGCGACAATTCCGATTTGACGCGCCTGACGCCGGGCGTCGCGCCGCTCTGTCATTACGCCGATCACTGACAATGACGCGCGTTGGCTTTCGCCATCGAGTCACGATGCAGGCCCTCGTTACGTTCGATTCGAAAAATCTGTCACCTCTCGAAACGTGACACTTGTTAGAGAAGAATTTACCTAGATATACAAAATAGGATTTATTAGGGAAACAACGACCATCTCTGTCTTAATTGATAGTCGAACGAAAGCTGCGAAGAGCCGTTTCTTGACAGTGAATATTTCTTCACAATTTCTCGCGAAATAAATTTTTCAGAGGTTTCTTCAATGTAAAGTACTAGCTGTTTGTCGTGCGATTAGCTGTTTTTCGTGAATCTTGTTGATTTTGATGATTTGCTTTCAAAAAATCGCAATACGTGTAAAATCACTATGCGTGACTCGAAACTAAACTTGAATTTTTAGTCTTGCGAGTTTAAAGTAAAAAAATCTGAGGTTGTGAAGTGAAATAAACATTGCATAATTGTAATTACAAAATAAATAAAAATAATTAAATATAATAAATGCAAAACACCTTTTATACAATATATATTATAATATTTAGTATTACATATATTTAGTTGTATATATATATAATTATATACATCGTACTGTATTGTATTACTGTGATATAAATATTGCATTATAAAATATGCGTACACGATAATCCACGATGGAAAATAAAATACCGATGTGAAATCTTATCAAATCTTATTATATCGTAGATATAACAGATTTATATGTGTGTTCATGATTTACAAAAGATACGATAGATAAATCCTCTATTTCCAGCGAGAGACAACATTGTGACGCGCGTCTTAATCGAATCTTGTCGAAATAAAATTAATATTCGAGAGAAGGAAATGTCCCCGTTTCCTCGTGAAAGGAACGGGAAACACGAGGAAACTGTGGCGAGCACGGTAGCCCCGGCAAGGCGGATACGATAAATAAACGATAAATAAACTCATAAACACCTCGTACGATGCGTGTGATGTCGAAACGCTGAACGCACGGAAACAAGCAAATAAGGATTGCATTGGCGGCCGTTATGCTCGAGAAAGTTTTATTGCCTGACAAATGCCGATAAGGAAGCGATTTGACCGAACCGAGAATGCTGGAAAATTTATTATCGTCCTGCCCCGAAAGAATTTTTACGAGACGGCGGAATCGGATAATTTTCAGTAAATGAGACTCTCATAACGCCGACGGTGTTGATGTTTTCTCGATTGCTTCGGTTGCTTGACCACCATTCGTCACTGACAAACACAGCAGGAAGCAGCGTTTGTTGATGTATTTATTTGTTTCATTAATTTAATATATATATATATATATATATATAATAATATATTCATTAATTTAATATATATCCACGAGAGTGAGATTAAACGAACAAGTGAAGAAGAAATACAATAAACGTCACGTAATAAACTCATTCTTTATTTGTAATTAGGTCATGGAATTTTTATACAAATTTAAATAAATACATAAATGTAAATGGATAAAAATCTTGATAGCGTTTCGAAGGATATCGTGTATACTAAATTTTGACACGGGAGGATATTATTTGTATCAAAGTTTCAGTAGATACTTTATTTAAGATTTCTAGTAACAAAGTTCGAGTGACGATTAAAAGATAGAATAAAAATTAACAACCAAATACCAATACGTCACCATTCAACAAATACTGCTCACTTTCTATATTTGACAATAAAGTTAATTACGTTAACAAACGCTAACGATAATAAAGAACGACTGAACTTAAAAATTGCAGTCAAAGTATCACGAACAAATACAATCGCGTAACCCATTTCATTTTTCGATATTATCAAATCGTATTAAAATCATTCGACTAGCCTGACGAGCAATTCATCAAAATAAAATTAAACTACAATCAACTGCTCCTCTTCCTTTTCACTTTCCACTTTCCACTTTCCATCACTCGACAAAAGTTCCTTCCACGTTCTCATCTAGAATCTTTATTAATCCCATATACTTTGCTAGATTCTTTATACTCTTGGTAAAAATTGACCAAATTCGTACAACGATCCACAAATTTCGTCGTCGCATTATTGTCGGACGAAATATTCCTTCGCTCGTACGCGGAGCGTCAATTCACCATGCACGGGTGAGAACTGGCTTTGATAGTCGCACGCGATCGTGGATTTCTTCTCGGCGTGTGTTGCGCGGATCGATTCGTCGACGCGAACGCGCGTGAGACGAATCGAAGATATTCCCTGGCATAGCTGGCCGATTCCCGCGATCCCCTTCCCGTGCACTTTCGTTCGTGCACGCTGCGGTATCACTTTTCGAGAGAAACGCCCTCGAACGGTGAAAGCCGCGCGCGCGCGTGAACCCGCCGATTATATTTTCCTCGGGGGCGTCGCGTGTGGGTGACGACGAACGCCGAAAAAGAAACTTGACGCGCAGATCCTAATGGAAACTTGTAACTCCTGCCTATCGTCTTCCGCGTCCGTCCGTCCGTCCGTCTGTCCGTGAAACGTGGCGAATCACCGTGGCACCACGCCGCCGAAGCTGGTGCTTCGTTATCAGCTTCTTATTCAGCGGAGTCGAGAGAGGCTTATCAGACCTCTCTCTTCGCGAGAATTCATTGTTGCTCACGGAGGTGTGCTCCAACTGGTGGATCACGTGCCACTCTGCGTGGAGAGAATTGCGTGCTCGTTGGCCTCGTTAGATAACAAAATTGCCTTTGTACGAGCGGGAAGATTCGAGAGACTATTCTTTTCTTTTTTCATTTTTGAACAATGATACGAGAGAGAGGAATATTTAAAATTGTCGCAAGCTGTTCAAAAATGTTTCTATCGCGCGCGAAATTTCTATTATCTTGCGATAAACCAGACTTCTGTGTATGTACGTGTAGAGTTTCATGTTGGGTTCAAAACTTTAGCAACCAACGATGAAATTTCAAAATGTTTTCTGCGGCACAGATCGCGCCAAATGTTCGAATATTGTCACGAGCCACTGTACACTGTCTACACGTAACAAAATAAATTTGAGAATAAATCACCCACTTGCCGATGAAAGCAAGCATTAATGTCGGACAATAAATCGAAAAGAAGGGAAGAACGATTCCCCTCGAAATCCATACACGCTGCTTACGTACAGCAATAATACGTGACCCATCGATCGAACACGAGTGATCTATGGATCGTTCGCGGTGCACGATCCAATCTTTCTCCCCGAGTCCAATTCTTGGTCCACGAACCAACCACGTTCCCATCCACGAAACTCTGACGACGAAACTCAGCACGCGGTACACTTGCCACGGCTGACTTTCTAATTCATCATCGAGAATATATATTCTACGCAACGGAGCGTCGGTGGAATACGAACGAAAATCGAATACGATCACGTATCGTGGGCTCTCCCCATCAGGCGAAACGAAAAACCTAGCTTTTTCATCGAGGAAGCGATAGGACCTATTTATCGTCATTATTTATCAAACCTATTGCCAGCAAGGATCGTCGACCTCGTTCCTACGCTTCGAGGAGGAATCGAATTTAATTCGTGCTCGCATATTCGATTGACCATTTACTTTCTATCCATGCAGATTGTTCTGCTCGAGAACGGGCAATCAATCGGGCAAAGTGGAGCCCGGATAAAGTTCGATCTCGCGCGATCGATCGAAAAATCGGCAGGATTTCTTCGGTAAAGGAGAAAACTCGGCTTTCTACTTGATCAGTTGATGCCACGAGTGAATTTTATCCCACGTACTATCAAGTACTATCTTTTTCTCCTTTCAAAGAAATGATACACGCGTATCGTATTTTATATCCAACTTTCGTGGGAATTATGTAAGATTTTGTGCAATCCATCCGAGCAATCATTATCACTTCTTACACACTTACAATTTTTTAATTGTATCGTAAGTAATATGAGCTAATCGTCGTTGCGATCGACGGTTAATTTAGTTTTTATGCGAATAACTACACTGAATAATTTTATTCAATCGTTTATTCAGGGAGATCACTGGTTTCTAAAATTATCAGACTCTTTATAATCTGTAATGCATTTCTATTAAATATCGTAGAAAGTCACGGCCTTTAATCTTCGTTGGATATAGTATAGATATTCGTTCATAGTAAAGTTCTTTCCGTAAATAAATAAATCGAAAAAATAAATT